ACAATGAACTACAATAACCTACTTCACTAGGTTATTTATATACAAAATTAAATCTAAAATATATCTTCTAACAAAGATATAAGAAGATCTAAGATATATATCTTCTAACAAAGATATAAACAATCTAAAAGATATTCTTAAATATAAATTAATATCTAATTAAATATAAAATCTAAATTAATTATAACCGTTTGTTTTTAAAAATATTGATCATGATAAACTTTGTAAAATAACTTATGGAAACAGTTATGTGAAGTCTACCCTCGCCCCATCATTGATTTCCATCCACTTCAAATTATAGTTATAACAAAAATTGAAAACAAATGATAATGCAATTAGTTATTAATATGCATATAAAAAACAAATAGATCAATGAATTAAAGTGAAAAGCTCTTATATGATAAACGCTTAACTAAGTACCCCAAACGTCCTATTGATGATTGAGAGTAGTAATAAATCAAGAACATTAATCATCTTTTTGTATTCAATTAGTCAAATTGTTTCTAATACTTGGGTTATGTAATTAGATAAAAAATAATAAATATTGTTCTTCATACATTTGTCAATTATTACGAAAAACTTATTTAACAATAGTTAGTAAATACATATAATCACACATGATCAGGAGTTGTTGTGTAGAGTGTTATTATAAATTCGTTATTAATAATCACGATCCTGAAATTGTTATAGTATATTGGTAAGTTCACGTGATATCACAACAATTATATTTATTAACTGTTGTGATATGTAAGGTATTGGGTTCCAAACCTAGCAGCAAATAAATTATAATAGATCACGGTTAATATAAAAAAACCATTGTGGAACATACTCATAGCTTATTAAATACAAATGTATATTTCTTGTTTTACCATACACCTCTTTAAAGAAATACAACCATTAAAATTGATAAAAAAATTATATAATATGAAAATTAAACTATTCTTAAAAACCAACTTAAACACATCATTGTATTCAGAATTGCATGCATCTCATTCAACATATTATATGTTCTTTAACACATATATGGTTCAATAGTCAGATTAATTCAATGCATCAATATCTTTTATTATTGTTTACCTCATCATCGTCGCTTATCATCGTGATTGTTATGATGACTTATCATCATAACAATCATGATCTTAACAATCACGATGATAAGTGACGACGACAAGGTAAAATAGAATAATAGATATCGATGTATTATAGAAATTCGACTATTGAATCATATATTATGTGTTAAAGAATATAAAATATGCTGAATGAGACACATGCAATTCGTAATATAGTGATTGATATATGTAAGTTTTCAAATACATCTTAATATTCAGATTATAGTTTCTATGTCAATTTAAATGGTTGCATTTCCATTAAAAGGTTAGTGAAACAAACAATATACATAGTATATAATAAACTATCACTACGCCAAAAATGATTTTTTGTATCACCTAATTTAATAGCACTTTTAAAAAAAATGCTATTAAAATGGAAAAAACACATTTATAATAGCACTTTTTAATCGGGCGCTATTATATAATACAGACTATGTAATTATGATAGCACTTTGTACCAGAACGCTATTATTAAACTTCTTTAAGATAGCATTTTGTATAAAACGATATTATTTGACTACCTATATAATAGCATTTATTAAAAAGCGCTATGTTATATATAATAATGAATTAATTAATTAATTGATAAAAAAAAAAAAAACACATTTTCAGAAAAAACACAGGAAGGAGAAAAGTCATTCCAAATCCATTACTTGACTGGCCTCCGACGACACGCCGGCGACCGCGAGCGACAACTCAACTGCTTCTGCAACAGCATAATATCGACGCACTCCGGCCCCCTGTAGCGTCACCGGCAGCCACCACTGGGCGTTCGACTCCGACCTCCATCTCCAGCCACTCTCGGTTTTGCTTGCGGGTAAGCAATTTTTTTCCTCTATTTTCTCGATTTGTTGTCATTGTTGTTGGAGAACTTAAATGCTTGATTTGAATCTTGGATTTCTATTTTGTTGTTGTTCTTATTTTAAGAGAAAGATTGATTTTGTTTTGGGGTTGAAATGGATGAGAGATAGAAAAAACATGGTTATTGTTCTGCAAGTTGTGGTCTTTTGTGAGAGAGAGTAAGAAGAAGAAGTATCACTGTCTAGAAAGAAAAGAGAGAGGTATAGAGTATAGGATAAAGCTGCATGAGTACAGCAGAGTAGAATCACACTATAGGCAGATATATATACTTTCAAACCAGTTCATCACATCCTCCGATAACATCACAAAATTATTATTATTTTTAGTAAAAGTGAGTTTAATATAAAATATATTATGTTTAAATACATGTAGAGAATGATGAAATAGAACAAGAACCTCAAATAAGAAGATCAATTAGAGTTAGATAGCCATCAAGAAAGTACTTTATCAATCTTATCAATCTCCATCTCCAGTCATTGCAAAGTGAAAGTATCTTATTTGATTTACCGACTTTATGTTGATTTAACGCTCTTTTCTTGATTTACTGATTTTTTTGTTGATTTTTAGCTCTATTGGGAACATTTTCTGCATATTGCTTATTTGCCTATGCATCTTGAATAGAGAATGACATAATAGCTTATTTACTCGTCTGTTTGAAAGAGACTTTGGAAGAGCCAGAGTATACAATCAGTTCAGGAATCCCGTTTAGTTCAACAGGATATTGATAGTTGGTAGGAGTTTCATGTGTTTTCTTTGCATTTTCGTTACAGGAACAAGAGAAGAATGAGTTAGGGCATGAACTCAAAAGGTGAAAAAGAGAGATTAACAAGTGTGACTATTTTCATTGAGTTTTATGTGTATTTATTTTGTAGAATTTTCAGGAGTTTTTAATGGGCTTTATGTCTATTTGTTTTGTATAATTTTCTTGATATAATGATTTACCTGATTTTGTTGATGTTATGAGAGAACTTTCATGATCTAATGGATTTTATGTGTATTTGTTTTGTAGATCTTTCATGATCTAAGGCACAACAGCAATGGAACAGGTTATAGATGCATTTATGTGTATTTCAAATGTATGACCTTCAGATTTTCAAACATAATTTCCTCTTCAGTCTTTCCTATTAAGTGTTTCTTATTTCATGCTTAAGCTGTTCTAAGTTAGAATATCAATTAAAGCATAGAAGTACAAGTAAATTTTCAACTTCAGAATCATACACATTTTATCTTGCTGATTGAAATGCAGCCACTTAATGTGTCACAAGTTTGCAAGGTTGCTCCAATTCCTGGTGTTGTCTAACACAATAAGGACACTAAAACAATTGTTATGTTGAAGGGCGTGGTAGGTTTTCTCCTGTTGACTTTGATGGTAACATCGTAACAGATCTGACATGAGTTAATGGCATGGGGATTCTTGAACTTGGTATGTGCAAATATGTTATGGTTTGCTAATAGTATCGATGATGCTTTGGTGTATGAGTATGTTGGACATTTCAGTTTTTGAATGATGAATCATGATGATGAGCATGGCATTTGTTGCCTACTTTAATAATATGCTTGTAGGCTTGAATTGCATTGGTTGAACACAGGTATGTATTGCATTGGGTCTGTTTTGATATTTTTTCTCATACTTAAGGCTTGAATTGTGTTGCAAGACTTATATGGTTTACAGAAGGTTGTACGTTGATGCAGGTTAGCATGACTATTATGCACAAGCTCCTGTCGTACATGCTATGCACATCAAAGTTCTACTGCAAAAGCTCCTTCTCCAATGAGTAATTTATAGTCATGCTTAATAACAGTAGAAGCTCTTGTAGAATTCAATTTGCATGTGATAGAGCTTTATACCCTGTTTTCCTTTCTAGAGTTTATATGTAGCATGATAAGCTTTATACCCTGATAGAGCTTCTTCTTTCACTCTCTCATAATCTGTTTTGTGTATTTTAGGAATAAGTTGTTTTTGTGTTTTTACTCTTATATGAATAAGTTGTTTTTGTTGTTAAAAAATTCTACCACTACTGTGATAGTTCCTTCACCACTACTGTAATATCAAACAACAATGCTAAACAAAATTGTTTGGAACTGATCAGCTGGGATTGGGGTCTAAATTTTACGTGGTTGGTGTTTCCATGGGCTGACAAGTTGTTTGGAACTGTCTTAAGCACATACCTCACAGGTTCCTTGATTAAATTGTTTGTTCAAACACAGGTTCAGGTTTGGTTATTGAAGCCAATTCCCCTCTCTGAGTTTATATTAGTATGTAATTTTTTTTCCTTTTGAAGATTGACAAGAGGCTGCTATATTTGAAGGAATTCATCATATCTGATCAGAGAAAAGCAGGTATTAAGGATTGTGTTTCTATCACTATTTTTATTGTAATGTTCCTTTGCTAGGTGTTATTTTGTTTTCATTAAAACCCATTTAATTCTATAAAATTATGGTTCTTATTTTGTAGCAACCTTATCAAAGGAGTTGTTAGAACAAAAAATGTAAAGCATAACCACATGACGTCTCAAGATAAAAGGCCTATACTACTTCTCCTAGGCGGATCATATGTTGGTTGGCTTTTGTATCTGCTAGACAGAGAAAAACAACTACGAGTTAAAATCAATTTATGATTATAAAACTGTTTATTTTTCTTACTTTTGTGTCCTCCACATGTTTGATATAACGTTTCTATGATATAATGTTTCTGTTGCAGTCTTATTATTGTCTTGATACTGGGCAACATTTCTATACATATACTCATCTCATGCGCTACGTCAATTATGCCGAGCGATATCAACTGGAGCGTGTTGTTCTTATCAGGCCCGCAATTTCCCATCAATTTTTTGAAAGCTTTCTTACATTTTAGACATGTAATATTGTAAATATGCCTCATAAATATGTGTCAAATGATTTTGTTCAATGCTTTATTAAGTTTCAATATGGTTATTGTACTATTGGAGTCGAAGACTGTGAAAAGTTCTTGGAAATTTGGATCTCCCTCACTCACTATATATTTCTTTCAGATGACGGTTCTTAACAGAAATGAACCAGCATGTACATTACTGGCAAATTCAAAAACCTTCTCTTCCTGTAAAGATTCAGCAGGATAACGTTATTGGAGGTCTGAGTTCAGTCTACAGTTTGATGTGATGAACTGGTTTGAAAGTATATATATCTGCCTATAGTGTGACAGTTTTGTGACTTATCTTAATTTGTCCCTTAGAAACATATCTGTGACAGTTTTGTAGATTGAGAGAAGTACAGTTATGAGAAAATGACAAGAAATATTTATTGTTGAATAGATCACATTAGCAACTGTAGAATATCAGTCATTATTAAATCAGCGATACAATTTGGGGGTGCAGGGAAAAACTAGAAAATGTTTTAATTTTCTTGATTAGGAATATTATGATACAGTTTTAGTATACATTGGTTTACCTATTGCTGGTTAGAATCTGATCTCCTGTTTTATCTCCCCTTTCTTATAGAACACATTACTTGGTTTTTCACCCCTCACTGGCTTTGTGAGTAGGACAGAGAAAAAAAGAAGTAAAAGTAACATATTATTTCATGGTTGTGTATTTGTTATTTTAATATGTTAGTTGAAGTATTGAGTAATATGAAGACAGATTGTTTAATATTATCTATCTTTTTTTTCTTCAGGAAAGGAATGGTGACGGGAAGGCTCAAGATTCAGAGCCTCCAACTCCCCATTCTGTTCTGAAAATGGGATTGAGGTTGGTTTCAAGTTACAACTTCAAATATACCTTTTTTTCTATCATACACGAGTAGTTTAGAATCTAATAAAATCAGTGATTAATTACATCCAATGTGTCCCAAATATAAAATGTAACTTCTTTTAGTTGATAAGTTTTTTGCGTCAGTGTATATTCTTCTGCTTGCAGCTAAATAAGGCACATGTTTAACACGCATGGGGTACCTCTTGGATTAGCGTTATTATCAAAAGTAAAATACTTTTTGTTAGAGTATATTATATCATATAACTATCTGCATTAAGAATAATCTGAATTTAATATTTCGATTTATGAAATATCGATAGTAAAATTTCTGTATTCCAAATTTTGGCATCTTACATTCTTACCTGGTTGCACTTGCAGAGATCGTAGTAGCAGCATGGAGGATCCAGATGGGACATTGGCTAGTGTTGCGCAATGCATTGAGCAGCTGCGTCAGAGCTCGTCTTCTGTGCATGAGAAAGAGTATTCCTTAAGGCAGTTATTGGATCTTATAGATATGCGTGAAAATGCATTTAGTGCTGTTGGATCTCACTCTCAGGCTGTTCCAGTGCTTGTTTCCCTTCTCCGGTCAGGTTCGTTGAATGTGAAGATCCAGGCAGCAACTGTTTTGGGATCACTTTGTAAAGAAAATGAGCTGAGGGTGAAAGTCTTGCTTGGAGGCTGTATTCCTCCATTGCTTGGTCTCCTAAAGTCCAGTTCTACTGAAGCCCGAATTGCCGCTGCAAAGACTATATATGCTGTCTCTCAAGGTGGTGCAAAAGATCACGTTGGTTCCAAAATTTTTTCAACTGAAGGAGTAGTACCCGTGCTTTGGGAGCAGTTGTGAGCTGGCCCGAAAACCGAAAATGTAGTTGAAACTTTATTGACAGGAACATTGAAAAATCTCTCCAACAGTGCTGAGGGATTCTGGAACTCAACAGTTCAATCTGGAGGAGTGGACATATTAGTGAAGTTATTGGCAACAGGGCAGCCTAGCACTTTAGCCAGTGTTTGCTTTTTACTTGCTTCTGTAATGATGGAGGATGCATCTGTTTGTTCGAAGTTGTTGAGCGCAGAGGTGACTAAACAACTTTTGAAACTGTTAGGCCCTGGTAATGATGACCTTGTTAGAGCTGAAGCAGCTGGTGCTCTTAAATCTCTATCTTCTCAGTGCAAAGAAGCCAGGCGAGAGATAGCCAGTTCTAATGGCATTCCTGCTCTAATCAATGCTACCATAGCTCCTTCGAAAGAATTCATGCAGGGTGAGTGTGCTCAAGCATTACAAGAGAATGCTATGTGCGCTTTAGCAAATATCTCTGGTGGTTTGTCTTATGTCATATCTAGCCTCGGTCAAAGCCTCGAGTCATGCTCTTCTCCTACACAATTTGCCGACACTTTAGGAGCAATAGCATCAGCTCTTATGATATATGATAACAAGGCCAAATCTACCAAACCGTCAGATCCTTTGGTGGTTGAAGAGACGTTACTCAAATAATTCAAACCTCGTTTGCCTTTCCTTGTGCTAGAACGGACCATTGAAGCTCTAGCTAGTTTATACGGTAATTCCATACTCACAACTAAACTAGCAAATTCCGATGCAAAACGTTTGCTTGTTGGTTTGATAACAATGGCTGCCAATGAAGTGCAAGATGAGCTTATAAAAGCTCTGTTGACTCTGTGCAAAAGTGAAGGCAGTCTATGGCGTGCACTTCAGGGTCGTGAAGGAGTTCAACTATTGATATCTCTTCTCGGCCTTTCATCAGAACAACAGCAAGAATGTGCAGTTGCATTGCTTTGCCTTTTATCTAATGAAAATGATGAAAGTAAATGGGCAATTACCGCTGCTGGTGGTATACCTCCGCTTGTTCAAATTTTGGAGACAGGATCTGCAAAAGCAAAGGAAGATTCCGCTAGAATCCTTAAGAATTTGTGCAATCATAGTGAAGACATACGTGCTTGTGTTGAAAGCGCAGATGTTGTTCCTACATTGTTGTGGCTATTGAAAAATGGAAGTCCTAATGGGAAGGATATTGCAGCAAAGACTATAAATCATTTAATTCATAAATCTGATACTACGACTATCAGTCAGCTTATAGCATTATTGACTAGTGAACTTCCTGATTCTAAGGTATATATTTTGGATGCTTTGAGAAGTATGCTTTGTGTTGCTCCTCTTAGCGACATTTTACGTGAAGGTAGTGCCTCCGGTGATGCATTTGACACCGTGATAATGTTATTGAGCTCTAACAAGGAAGAGACTCAGGCAAAATCTGCTTCAGCTCTGGCTGAAATTTTCGAAGCAAGGAAAGATTTGCGTGAAAGTAGCATTGCTGTCAGAGCTCTTTGTTCAGCCATGAAGCTGCTCAATGTTGAATCCGAAAGTATCCTAATGGAGTCCTCAAACTGCCTGGCTTCAATATTTCTTTCCATCAAAGAGAACAAGGATGTAGCCGCTCTTGCTAGAGATACATTAACCACCCTAGTTACTCTAGCTAACTCTTCAGTTTTGGAAGTGGCAGAGATGGCTATAGGTGCTTTAGCGAATCTTATTTTGGATACTGAAATAGCAAAGAAAGTTGTTCTAGAAGAAGTTATCTTGCCTGCCACCAGAGTATTACGTGAAGGCACAAATTCTGGAAAAACTCGTGCTGCAGCTGCTATCGCTCGCCTCTTACATTCTCAGAAAGTTGATAATGTTGTTACTGATTGTGTGAATCGCGCCGGCACTGTTCTTGCATTAGTTTCCTTTTTGGATTCTTCTGTCAATGAATCTGTTTCCACATCAGAGGTTCTAGAAATTTGGCTATGCAAACGCCCTCTTAATATTCTATATGTTATGATATTTGGAAACAATAGGATTTGGTAATTTAAAATGTTATTTGGTATTTGATGGATCATAATATATATGCAATGAGTAACTTAAAGCGTTATTTGTGTTGAATTGAATATAGTTATTTTATATTTACACCAAAAAAAATGATTGTGTAAGAAAAAATATTGCACTGTACTTATTAAAAATATTGTACCAAATATGTACCATTTATTAGCACTTTATTTGAAAGCGCTATCAAACATATGTTATATATTAGCGCTTTTTGTTTAGAGTGCTATAAAAAAACAAACAAAAAACATGCAAAATACTGACTTTGATAGCACTTTAATTAAAACGCTATTATAAATTGGTACTTTAATAGCGCTTTTAAAGTGCTATTAAATAAGAAATATTTACAATAGTGGCGCGGTTAATAGCACTTTTAAGCGCTATCAAAAACAAAAAAAGCGCTATTAAATAGCTTATTTGGCGTAGTGTATACTTCATCTTGACATGTCCATCTGTATAAGAATTTAAAGAACAAAACATTGTTAAGTCACAAGAAACCTTTTTCATATAAGTTAGAAATGTTTTATTCTTGTTTTGAGAATATTTTTCAACAAAAACATCATACAAAAACACAATAATATCACTAACAGAATACAATACACAAAATATATTAAGTTGTTTATAGATCACACCTTTTAGTTAAAATAATCGTGGACCTATGAAGTTCACCTAGTTTGTGAAGCAATGAAAAAGAAATACAAGGTGAATGAAGTTTTCAAAATGACTTCACACTTCTTGTATTTTTTTCCATTGCTATACAAATCATATGTACCATTATCAACTCATATTCTACGCTTTCTACCACCATTTCGTTACCATATGAGGTTCATCTAGTTTGTGAAGTCATGAAAAAGAAATATAAGGTGGATGAAGTTTGGAATAACATTATAAGAAGAAAATTATAGGAAAACCATGTGAAATATAACAACAACATACACGAAAACGAGAGAACAAGTAAAAAGAATAATACCTTTATGTAAGAACAAGATTGACGACTACAATAATGATGAAGAAGAGAAAAATGGGTTCTAGGATTTTATTGTGAAAGGTACGACGCTAATGTCAAAGAGTGAGTGTTAATTCGCTTCTATATAAATATACTCACAACGATTTACAAAACCAACTGTGGTGATATATATAAACGTGTCACAACGGTGAAACACATAAACCATAATCATAATACTTTAAATTTTTTATTTAAAAATAAATGAAAAAAACGCATCTTAACATTTAAGGAATAATATATATGAGGGCGCTGAGGTTCGAATCCATGAAACTTGATGGTATCACCACAGTTGGATCCAAAACTGTTGTTATATACTATTAATTTTTAATTAAAAAACAAAAATAATATGCTAGCGCCTTAGTTTAAAGATGTTACCACGGTGTAAAAAAGAACTATGGTGATTATCGCGTTGTTATTTACGCGTTTTGTAGTAGCGGCCATTGTATATAACTTAAGATATTTATGTTCACAAGGTGGTGATTTCCTATCCCACTTACATTTATCACTTTGAAGGAAGCCTCTTTATAAACCTTTAAACATGAATTCAAATGAATCTTGAAGTTCCTTTCTTTATTATGACGGTAATCCTCTCTGGCGGCACCTGGTGCGCCACGGCCCACCCAACTTTTTTTTAATATCCTTACAAAATATTTGGTTATAAAGCCTAAAACCATAATTAAATCTAAACCCATTTAAATGGTTATCAACGGGTTAATTGATAAATGGTTTTGTTATCCATCAATAAATTCAATTATAATCTGGTTGTTATCCAAAAGCTCCAAATAAAAACTGGTTACTTTTTTGTTCATCCATATTTTTAGGTAAACTGATTTTCTGTAACCACGGCTTAATCTCCATTTTATTCTTTAATCACAATTTTATTTTCTATAATTTTCTTTGATTGTAGCTATTTGAATAAGCTCAAATTTTTCTAATAATTCTGATTAAACATGTTGATATATGAACATGATTTGGTTTGCAATAGAGTATTTATGTGATACCAAAAATATTGTAAGAAACACTATCAAAAGAAAATTATTCTTATCAGTCATTATTACTTATTTGTGTTGTGCATATATGTATATATATATATATGATTTATGTAACAATAAGAATAAAAGTATTAGGGTTTTAGTAGATCTCTATAAATAATAAATAGAGAAGCGCTATTTTCATAGCAATGTTAATCGTCAATTTTGTCATTCTCTGAAAACGGCTAGCACCGCTCTCTTATTTTAATTTGATTGACTTGTGACTAATAATTTAATTAAAATTTATTTTTTGAGATTATTATACTAAGAGAATAATTTTTTTTGAGAAATCCCTCTTAAATTCCAACAGTGGTAATGAAGGCTATAATTCTGATTAAATCATTAATTCAAATATGATTTATTATAATGTTGATTATAAGATGTGTAATCATATATGCAAAGAGAATAAGAACGATTATGTTAATTGTTACTGTATGCGTTTTTACTAAACCGATAATTGATGCGATAGCTGAATGTTGTTTGGAATAGCATTATAAGTTCATATTATTGTCAACAAATTGGTTGCTTGTAAATTTTAAAAGAGACTGAGTGGCTTTGACATAATTTGGTTCACCATCTTAAAAGTTAAATAGTAATAATAATAATTAATAAATTATATTAATAACAATTTATTATTTTAAATGATAATAAAATAATAAAGTGTTTCTTATTTAAAATTAAATATTGATAATATGTTTTGTAAAATTTGGATATCGATATTGACTATGTTTTAGAATTCGATATTTTGTATGATGAAACAACGATACTTTGATTATCCATAAGTCATATAAAATTATTGTTCGAATTTATATATGATATAAATATTTCTAATACAAAGTTTATTTATTTGATACACTATTTTGTTTCCTACATTCAAATAGTGTAATAATTGTTATAAATTTGAATGATCAATGTTCGTTCTGCTTCGGAATTTGACATTTATATGGTGAAACAATGACATTCGATCAGACATATTGGATAATTAATTATTGTGTTTTGATAGTATGAACGCGTTTGCATTACGGTTTGTGACGGTGCAAGAGTTGTACCTTTAGAGTTCACAAAAAGCATCAAGTGTTGATGCGTCAATATTTATAAATAAATAATATATTATTATTTATTATTTAATTATTTATTATTAAATAAATTAGTATACGGTTATGACCTTAAATTTTGACGTTTGCTTATTTTAAATACGACTTGTGTGTCGTGATTTATTTTATTTAAATACGGCCTGCATGTCGTGGTTTATTGTAATTAAATACGACCTATGTGTTGTGCGATTTAATTATTATTTTATTTATTTAAATATTATAAATGTTCAAATTCAAGAGTTGAAGAGAAGACAATACCAAACGATGACGTCGGTGGAGAGGCATGAGATGTTTGCTCGTGGGTCAAAGAATTGTAATAATATAGTTTATTTAATTCGTGTGTTTTAGGTAGGGGTGGCAAAATGGACCTCGCCCGTTAGGTATGTCCGTTTTACCTGCACTTTAGTGCGGGACGGGCCAAGAATTTAGACCCTCACCCTCTAATGTGACCGTCCCGCCCTCCCGTTTTCTTCACGGGCTTTTACGGGCATGACAATTAACATAACATTTTACATTCTTAGACTTAAAAGGTGCAGTACCCGCGGGCTTTTCCCACCCCACACACACTTTTTTGCGGGGCGGACTTAGGTTTTAGGCCCCCATCCTCAACTATGCCCATCCCACCCCGCCCCGTTTTTTTTGCAGGCTTTTGCGGGGAGGACATACCTGTTTTCCACCCCTAGTTTTAGGTGGTCATAATCGTATTACCAAGTTTCGTTTTATGTATGTGATGCGTGAAATATATGATTATATGCGCGTATATAAGATACACAAATATGTAAGTGTATGAGATACACAAATCAGTGAGATCCAACTTAAGACAAATTCCTCAATTAAATATTAAGTTAATTGCTTTCCAAAATTTAGCACTCATCAAGACTAGTATCGAATAATGTAGGTTTCGCCTAACGCGAGGTGCATGTTTTATATTAGTAAGGTGCGATGGAATAAATGTAATATCCAACAGCTAAATTTTTGGGTTTAACTTAACTAAACTAATTATAATAGGGTTATATATGTTTAGAAGCAAGAGTTGAGAACAATCCATATGATGAATTAGAATAAGGAGTTATTCACTCAACTGATAACATTCGAGAATGGTATTAGACACAATTGGAAAGAGTCCATACCTAAATAACAGTGTTTTGTGTAATCCGCATATGCGGACTTAAAACAAAGTGAAATATGGATTTCGACCCACTAGAAAATCTTTCAACGGGATATTCCGAATCAAATATTGAGGGTCATTTGGTTTGACTAAAAATAGTTGAATCATTTTAATAAAATTCCTTATTAAAATGATTTAATTTGATACAATCCTTTTACACATTTTCTATTTAGAATTTACTTTGCATTTTATTTATATTTTAATGTGAAATATCCTTATGAAGGATGTAAGGATCAAAAAAGAGTTTATGAATTGGTACACAAATTGAGAATTATTCTCAAGCACGAGAAAAATTGTATGTTCTCAAGCAACCAATTCCTGACAACCTAATATAATTAGATTCGAAGAACAATACTTATGAGAAGGGTTTAAATCGAATGTCTAATTATAACATATATCATAATTGTAGTCATCACAGAAAATGATATGATCATTAACCTCGAGGATTTTTTAAAAAAATATGAAATACAAGATATGAGAAATGTAAAACATTCCAAGGTCTTTTGTATACAAGTTAGAAATCCAAGTAGATCTAAAATATTTTTGAGATTTAAAATTTGGATTTCCTTATAGACCAAATAGTTGGCCACTAGCTCTACTTGAGATTTTCTTAGATAACTAGATTATATTCATTATGAATTAATTTTAAATATATCTACATCATCTTGTTGAAAAGAAAATAAAGT